TCACTGCCGCTTCTGGCCAATCTGTCTGCTATTTCATTGCCTTCCAAGCCACAGTGACCTGGAATCCACTGCAGAACAGATTGTTCTACTGAAGAGCCTAAGTAAATAAGCTGTTGCGTCAAGTCTACAAACTGAGTGTCTTTTGGGTTAACAATTGCTTGTAGAACTGACATAGCATCAGTCAGAAAGACCACTCTGCTATATTTGCTGTGCTGTTGTCCATTCAGAAAAGAACATGCGGCTAGAAGTGCTTCTGCCTCTGCTCTGTAATTGGAGGAATATGAACCTGTTGGTACAGCCTGGTTGATTTTAAAACCATTTGGGCATTCTATGTATATTCCTCCTCCTCCGTCTCTTACTGCTCTCTTGGCTGAACCATCTGTATACACTCGAATCCAACTCTGGTGTGGGTAAAGTCTATTGATCTCTCGTTCTGTAGTTGATTTCATATCAGTGCTGCTCATTGATGATTTGGAGGAGACCCCTGTTACAGTGGTTCTGACTGTTGGTAGGCTATCCCTAAGCCAAGCGGGGGTGTCGTTGTAAGGTTTAAGTGGAACATTTGGTATTATGGGAGGGAGTTTAAGGACAGCGAGCTTGGCATTTGCGTTCCTAATAAAGCAAGTTCTCTTTAGTCTAGCCTTCTGGGGTTTCTGCAGTCGGCTGTACATGGGTTGTTCTTGAAAGTGGTGGTATTTGGAGAGCTGGGTGAGGATCTTTGTGTCTCTCCTATCTTCCAGATTATGGAGACCAGTAATTGTTTCCATATCTGATATGGGCGTGGAGCGCATTGCCCCTGTCATAATACGGAGAGCATGGTTTTGGATCTTTGAGACTTTCTGAAAATTTGATTTAGCTGCTGTGTCCCAAGCAGCTATTCCATATTCTAGTGTTGGCCTCACATAGCCTGTATAGGTCCTCTTAAGGACATTGAGGTTTGCCCCCCAGTCTGTTCCAGCTAACTTCCTCATCAGTTGTGTTTTCTTGAGTCCCTTGCTCTGTGTCTTTTCTATCTGTTTTCTCCATGTGAGTCTTGAGTCAAAGGTTACTCCTAAATATGACGGTGAGTCATCATGTATCAGTGCCTGGCTGCCATATCTAAGTGAAACTTTCTGGGGTTTGGTAGAGAGACTGAAAATGGTGTGTGTGGTTTTGGCCCCATTTACAGGCATGTACCAGCTATTGGACCACCTCTCTAGAGTTCTGAGGGATTCTTGAAGCCTTGTCTGTGCTTTTTCAGTGTCCTCCTCTGAACTCAGTAGCGCCAGATCATCGGCATACATAACGGCTTGAACTCCATTACAGAGGGTTGATTTTATGTCGTTAATGTAAACTAGGAAAAGAATTGGGGACAGAACTCCGCCTTGTGGAACTCCATGTGTCATTGAGACTGATCTGCTCCTTGAACCCTGTATCTTGACTCTTGCAGATCGATTTTCAAGATATTTTACGATCCACCCAAGCATGTGATGGGATATTCCACTTTCAAGTAGCTTTTGTTTCAGCCCATTTTTCCACACTTTGTCGAAGGCCTTTTCCATATCCACCCAGACTGCAATAGTGTGCTTTTTTTTCCTGGAATGCATCTTCAATGTGTTGAGCAATAAATGTAATTTGGTCTTCTGTTGATCTGCAACGTCGAAAACCTGCCTGTTCCTCCATTAGTTTGAAGTTTTTCTCTAGGAACCAGGTCAGTCGGTCGGTGTTCAATAATCTTTCAAATAGTTTGCACAGACAGCTAGTGAGGCTGATGGGTCTGTAGCTGTCTGCGTTGTTCTTCGGCTTTCCTTGTTTCAGGATTACGAAGATTTCAGACTTCCTCCAGGCTGGAGGAACTATACTAAAAATCCAGCTGGCATTAAAGATGTTTAATAATTTCTTTTTGGCACTTAGACCCATGTGTAGTAACATATCATTCGTGATTTTATCGGGGCCAGGGGCTTGGTTGGATTTCAGCTGGTTGAGTCCTGTGTTAAGTTCACTCATTGAGAATTTATCTGTCATGATGCTCTCTGCTGGTTTACTCTTGCTGGCCTCCTCGAGTTCTTTTATTCTTTGTACTACCTCATCTTCTCTGGACTTTTCTATATTAATATCACTAACAGATTTAAACTGATTTAAAAGGATATTTGCAGCATCGTTTCCAGATCTGATCTCATTGCCCTCATTTATTACTATTGGATTGGCTTGTTGGGCTTCTCCATTTAGACACTTGACTAGTTTCCAGAGTTTGGACCCATCTTTTTCAAAACTTAGGCTCTTGGTTTTGTCTTGCCAGCTCTTCCTAGTTGCTTGAAGTGTTTCTTTTTTTAGTTTAGCTTCTGCTGCTTTGTAAGCAATGTTGTTTTCTACCGTTGGGTTGCTTTCTACCCTATCTCTTGCTTCTGAGAGAGTTTGGTGGAGGTCTTGAATTTGTTGGGACCAAAATGGGATGTAATCTTTCCTTGAACCCCGAGGTATGGTTTCTTTGGCTGCTTTTAATATAGCTTCTGTAAACTCTTTTACTGATTTAGCAACCTGACTTGATTTACCGTTTACATTTATCGAGTATACATCAGCAAGGTTAGCAAAACTGTTCCAGTCAGCTTTCTTGTAATTCCAACGAGGGGGCGGCATCGAATGAAGGCCTCTCATATTTAAAGCAGAAATCAAGATCGGTCGGTGGTCACTACCTGCTAGTTGGCTGAGCACCGTTTTGTGTATGTTGCTTGCCAAGTCTGACGTGGCAAATGTTAAGTCTGGGCGGCTGGTTGAAAGCCATCTCCTGGAGAAAAAGGATGGGGAGTCATCTGGTTTGTTGATTAGCTGGAGTCTGGCATATGTCTGCCAGTCCTCCACTTCTTCTCCTCTCTCGTTGAGCTGTGTATATCCCCAGCTTAGAGAGCAGCTGTTAAAATCTCCTAGAACGATACAGTTGTCATCTGGGATTCTCATGTTGTATAATGAGAGTTCTTTGCTTGGCGGGCAGTAACAATTGTATAATACAATTTCCTTGCCTGCAATGTTAAGCCTGACACCCATGATCTCAGACTCCTGTTCTGTGTCCACTGTAAGACTAGCTGCTGGGATGCTGTTTTTTACTAGGATGAGGACTCCTCCCTTGGGACCATTTTCTCTGTCCTGTCTGAAGCACTGGAAGCTTCTAATACAGAATCTGTGCTTTTCTGACAGGTGTGTCTCCTGTATACAGGCAATATCAATGTTTCCTTCCGTAAGTTGTTTTGTGAGTGCAGCTTTTTTGTTGCGGACTCCCTCTGCATTCCATTGTAGAATCCTCAGAGCGTACACGTCTTCTTCGTCCATCTTGTCCCTCTGATAGATTTATAATCTAGGCTGTTTTTCTAGCTTTGCGAGTGGTGACGTTGTACAGTTGCCACTTTTAAGGTAGGGCTCACCGTGGTATGGTTTCACTGAAGTGTTAAAGATTAAACACCACAGTCTTCATTCCTGCTAGGGTTTTCTGACATACAAGAAGGTATGCGTGACGCCATGTTTGTGGGAAAATATTCTCCCACACTATCTGTGCCTTTCGACCTGGCGTCTCCGTCTTCAACGTGCTTTTCTTTTAGGATGTGCTTCCTTAGCCCGTAACCAACCAAGGCCTGACCACCGGGCAGTGGTAGTTTAGTTTCAGAGTATCCTTCTCATAGGTGGGCTGCTGTCCCCAGCTATCGAGTCCCACCTACCCGGGGAAAATACCTAATTAAATTTTTAACGGCATCCTGTGTTGGCGTGGCAGCGCTTCACCAGTCCGGTTGTATGCCACCGTGTATACGCCCACAGGACAATTACTGTCTAAAATGCTATAAATCCATGGGGCCAGGTGAAACACAATCGGGCCTATTTGTGCCCCGTTGGCAACAGAGGCTTCCGTTGCAGAAAACCTATTATAATACACTATATTCCATTTTTAACGAATATTGATCTACAAAGTCACACAAAAACTATTTCACAGTAAGCCCGACGGAACAACGGTCACAGTGATATAAAAATTATCCTCAGATATCCAATGCAACAGGGCTTAAAAAATCTAAAATGATGAGAGCGAGAAAAACACGTCCTGTCCCTTGGACAGTCAGTCCTATGTAGGAAATTATTTTAGCGGGCGTTTTCTTTTTAAATTATTTAATTTCCAGGTGGACCAATTTTTGCTATAAAAACAAGAATATTTAACAACCCCAGACCAACTTATGTGGCACGCTGAGGGTGTGGTTTTTTTTTAGAAGAATGAGGGATTTCATTAACGAATGATGAGGACAAACTGGACAGGGGGAAACAAGAGTAATGCGGACGTCTTGAAAAAAACTGAGTTCACGAAAAAAACTGATTGCCCATATCAGGAGGAGACAATCTACATTCTTTGGTTGCGTGATGAGAATGAGAAAACTGTGGTACATGGTGTTGAGTTGAGCTGAGTTGAGTTGAGTTGAGTTGAGTTGAGTTGAGTTGAGTCAAGAATTGACATCACAGCACTCGGGGCATTCCCATGCATGCTCCGTCTTCATCTTCAGCAGCCAGCGCAGAGTTCCAATGCTGGTGGTACCAGTCACTATCTGGTAATACATCGTGAAGGTGGGGAGGTTTGCATGGGAAGAGAGGCAGAGGGAGACCAAGAGAGGAGATGCTGGACAGTTTGACATCATGGCATGGAAGATCGTCTACGTCAAAACTGGTTGAAAGTACACCATACAGAAGGATGTGGATAGACATGACTACCAACGCTACACAGCATGGACTATAATAAGAAGACGATAGGAGACAGAAGGCTGTAGATGTACAAGACTACCAACACCACACGGTATGTATTGTACAAAGAAAAAGACAGAATACATGACTACCAATGCAACACGGCTTGGACTATACAAAAAGAAGACAAGGGAGTGTTCTGGCAAGCAAAGGCGACAGGCGTGATAGTTAGATCATACGGTTCTTGAATCAAATACCGAATGTGCTTCAGATTGGGGAAAAGTCTGGATAACTTTGGTGTCTTTTATTGTCAGGAGCCGGTAACGGTTGACCAGGTGCGTGAAGCGACCATCTTCGATTCCTCGGGTCTTAAGATCATCCTTGTTCAAAGCACACCTAAAATTTCAAGTTTGTATCGTGTTTTTACTTCCCTATTTATTTGGGTATGTGGTTGATAGTTAGATGGCTCAGCTGGTTGTCTGACTGTGTGGTTGGTAGTTAGATAGCTCAGCTGGTTGTCTGACTGTGGTTGGTAGTTAGATGGCTCAGCTGGTTGTCTGACTGTGTGGTTGACTGGTTGATTGTTTAGTTGGCGTGTGATTGAATCATTGTGTGGTTGGTAGTTAGACGGCTCAGTTGGTTGGCTGACTGTGTGGTTGACTGGTTGATTGTTTAGTCAGTGCTTGATTGAATCATTGCGTGGTTGGTGTTTAGATAGCTCAGCTGGTTGGCTGACTGTGTGGTTGACTGGTTGATTGTTTTGTCGGTGCGGGATTTAATCATTGTATGGTTGGTTGAGGAATCATCTGAAAACCGGACTTGAAAATCATGTAGGAAGCAATGTAATGCAAGTCATCTGAGACCTATCAAGGCTGGCAACTCGACCTATCAAGGCTTTCAACTAGACCTTTTAAGGCTGACACCTCTCTGAAGAGTAAAGATATTTGTCTGCCGACTAATGAAGTTCTATCTTAGCGGAGACTGTGTTGCGGGGATACAGAGAAAGAAAGACCGTATTTCATAGAAAGAAAAAAAAATTAGAAGTTCCAGAGAGGCTGCGGATGAAAGGAGATTTACTACTGAAAGAAATAAAAACAGACAACTGAAATAGTTTGGCCACATTGAAAGACAAAATTCTTATAAAAACAAAACTGGATGAAAACGTCGACAGCAAGAGAAAAAGAGTTAGACAATGATACAAGTGGGAGGACAACATCGAGAGATGGAGTAACAGTTTAAGAGAGTGTATAACCAAGACAAGAGACAGAGCGTTACTAGGTCTATTGCCGCTAACCTTCATTGTGGAGAAGGCACATGGGTAATGTCTGATTCCCTCTTTGCATGATCAGATATTTGCTCGGTATGTCAAAGCGGTTGTGGAACGTGACGTCAGAGAACATATATATCAGAACGTAAGCTAATGTGCCCTGTACGGGTTACCGTTTCTGCTCTTGACAGCCTACTGTACGGTATAGTGCCTATTTTAGGCTGGGTAATTTTGGGATTTTGATAATAAAAAAATATTTTTTTTAAAAACACCACCATTCTGCATCTACAAGGCTAGAGCCTTGACTCTTTCGTTCCCAAACATTTATTTCTTCAATCCATTCTATCCCAGGAATTTGAGCTTCCAAGAAGTTGGACTTAAAAGCAATAAATACTTAATTACAGAAACTATGAAACGGAAGGAGGCAAACTAACAATTTAGATACATGGGATTAATATAACAACGGTGTGATAGAAGCTTGACAGTCTCAGTGATATAGTGAGCAATGCCGACGGGAACATATTTCTGGCAGGGTCACCCAATCCGGACAGGTCATTCTTCTTCTTCTTCTTCTGCCTTTTTATCCCCCAATGGAGCATAGGCCCTCAACCAACTCACGCCAAGTCGTTCTATCCTTCGCCATTACATGGAGCTCTCCCCATATCCTCCCAATCTTTCTAACCTCATTCTCCAGCTCTCTTCTCCATGTGTTTTTTGGCCTTCCTTTATTCCTATGCCCCTGTGGGTTCCAATGCAAAGACATTCTAGTTATGCTGTTCTCCTGTTTTCTCAGTGTGTGCCCTATCCAACGCCAGCGTCTTTTCCTCACCTCCTGATCCACTGGAGCCTGTTTAGTTCTCTCCCAAAGTTCTACATTAGTTATTCTATCATACCATTTTATTCCCTCTATTCTGCGCAGGCACTAGTTAATGAATGTCTATAATTTATTAGTAATTGCCTTCGTTGTTCTCCATGTTTCCGCCCCATACAATAGTACTGATTTGACATTAGAATTAAAAATTTTTAGTTTAGTATTTCTTTTAATTTCTTTTGACCTCCACAAATTCCCTAGTGCTATGAAAGCCCCTCTTGCCTTTTGTATTCTTATTTTAATATCTCTATCAGTTCCTCCATCTTTATCTACATTACTGCCCAAATAGGTGTACGATGTCGTAAGAGGCGACTAAGGGTAGGGTTGGGCGTGAGGTTGGCTACCTCATCCTGTAAAAACCATAGCCACAAAAACCAACCAACCATGGACAGGTCATTACTGACAGGTAAAAGATGGTCTCCCTGTCCTCCAGGCTCGGGGGTTGGGCCCAGTGTTGACAGCTCTGCAATGTAAAACTACAACGTCCCTCTGCCAGCATGAACAACAAGGGTAAAAGCCGAAAGGAAGCCTGTGATGGGAAAACAAGTCTGCTGGATGTCAAAACCAAATTAAGAACTGGCTTCTGGAATGTAAGAACTATGTTTGAAACGGCCAAAACCGCCTAAGTAATTAAAGAAATGCAAAACAATAAACTGCATATTCTTGGAATCAATGAAAGCAGGTGGACAGGGTTTGGATAATCCACGACAGGTACAGGAGAAACCACAATACACTCTGGAAGAGATGATAACCTACATTCTGTAGGCGTGGCCCTCAATTTAAAGAAAGGTATGCACAAACATCTCATAGAGTGGCATCCAGTTAATTAAAGAATTAGGACAGCACGATTCAATGGCAAACATGCCAAGCTTACAAACATCCAATGCTACGCACCGACTAATGAAGCTGAAAGCGAAGATAAAGAAACTATCTTTAGGAGACTGAAGGGGGTAATAGATAAAGTACCAGCCCATGATTTTCTATGCATTATGGGAGATCACAATGCAAAAGTTGATAACAACACATTGAAAACAGAATTACCTATGCGAAAACAGGGATTGGGTACAATTAATGACAACGGAGAAAGACTGAGCGACTTCTGCAGAGCGAATAGACTTGTTATAGGAGGAACACTATTTCCTTAGAAGGATATACACAAACTTACATAGATATCCCCAAATGGAAGAGATGTAAACCAGATCGACCATTTCATTGTAAACAGAATATGGCGTGGGTCCCTACTCGATGTGCGTGTCAAAAGGGGAGCAGATGTGGGAAGCGATCATCACCTTGTATGTAGTTGCTCTACCTCGACTTGACTCAAAAAGTACACACACAAGCTAAGACACACACAGCACGCTACAATGCCAGCCTATTAGGAGAGAAAAAAACATTGTCACTAAATTTATAGTAGAAAGAACATGTTTCAAACTCTATCAGGTGACCCAGACACGCTAACTACAATCAGCATTCATGACAAATGGAACCAGATCAAAGAAACATACAAAACAACCCTCAACAACATATTAGGAACCAGGAAACAACACCACAAAGAATGGATAAGCAGTCAAACCATGGACTATATTACCAAGCGCAAAGAAAGAAAAGAGCCTCATAAACGACTTCAAAGGACGCGCCCAATTAGTCGACTCCTACGACATGCTTGTTGAGGAGGCAGCAGGTTTATTCTTTTCACTCCCCTCCCCCTCCCCCTCCCCCACTATAGAGCCATGGAACCCAGACAGAGAGCCAGGCCTATGAATCAGAGCCAATAGTGATCAGCAAATAAAGCCAGGGAACAAGTTCCTCCTGTCTGACAAAGCCTGGAAAGTATTGCAGAGGTCATATTTTGCCAAAGCAGCACAATCCCTTTCTCGGCCTGCCTTGTTTACTCCATAAGAAAAGTAACACCAGTACGTTTAGAACAAAGCAAGCTGCAGGATCAGACAAGCAGTACTTTGTTTATCTACCTGTTGGAGCTTCCCTTATAACTAGCTGTGAACCAATGCTAAGGACAAGTTTTGGCACGCCATAACGTTACAATTTTTCGAGTTGCACTTCATTCTTCCTAGGTTAGGTAAATACTAATTTTTTGCTTACAGATCGACCGCCCACGCCAGCCAGTAGAAGCAGGCTGACGACTACCAAATCACCACCTCGAGATTCTGAAAGTGTCTCCTCCCAAGACTGCTCCAATAGTTTTAGTTTTTCCTCCAAGTGACGTCCGCATATACAGACTGAGAGAACACAGAGGGTTGCCAGCATGCACCATGTCGTAGGCGACCATATGTCTTGACAATCACATGGCAGGTCCTGGCGATAAGTTTGACTGATCATACCAGTGACATTCTATCAATATTTTCACCATACTTTCCCTATGCCGGCCTCAGTCTCTAATATCTTAATCTTCTTCGTTGTGATAATATTCTCATTTTCTTGTATCGTCATCATCATCATCAGCATTAACAACATCAACATTATCAGCTAGCAGGATCCTTGCAGAGTTTTGATATTATAAACAACAAAAGAAACTCTCTTTTGTCAGTTTCTCCTCCTAATACCTCTCCTGCCCAGTTAAATGTCATCTTCTCGAACTAAAAATAGCCACTGTTGTAACTTTTGCTGAGTAAATATCTTTCTTTGGGAATTGTCCTTCTCTAGAGCTTTGGAACTGGACTTCAAGGTTTCTCAAGACCTTTCATAATACTACCAAATAAATTACAAATTCGTATCCTCTAGATAAGTCTTTCCCATTTGGTGGTCCTCAGAATAAATTTACGGGGTCTATGTTACCATTTACATAAACACAGGCACATAAAAACACACATATCCCTTAACTTTAGAATGCAGTGTTTGCAATTTTATTGTATATAAATTATGATAAGCTCTACATTGACTAAATTTCAAATGGTCAGATTTCCGAACCAATACACAAATAAGACAAGAATCCAGGCAAGAGTATGTGTCTAATTTTATACGAAAACGCCGCTGGAACTATGTCGGCCACGCCCTTAGAATGGATAAATCAAGACTTCCTTACCAAGCCCTCATTTGGACACCACAGGGGAAAAGATCTCGTGGAAGACCAAGGGAAACTTTACGTAGAACTATCATCAGGGAAGGCTCGCTCATGGGCCACTCAAACATCCAAGACCTACAACGGATTGCAATGGACCGCCGTGCATGGAGAGTTATGACCTCTGCCCTATGTGCCGCACTCGACACAAGAGGAAAGACTAACTAACTAACTAACTAACTACAGAATGACTATTGAAATGTAATGTACCCGCGACAGACTGCATCAGGAGGGTTGCAGGTTGTAGTTAACTAGCAATCTTCATTCTAATTAATATTGTGACATTCAGGGCCCATAACCCACAGGATATGCAGTAACACAGTCAGAATGCGAATGTATTACATTACATTGATAACATCCATCTTCGTATATGTACTGGTTTATAAAAATGGCGCTAGCATCAAATTACGAATTGTCATTAAGGCGAGTACAAGGGTACATTGTTTATGCTCATTTATGGAGAACGTAGCCGTTTGCGATATAATTATCTTTGACAAATTAATTACATTATGTATAGATTCTTCAATAAAGTTACAGTCGAGTGGATCGAATTTATTGCTGTGTGTTTTTATTCCACATAGCTTGATCTCTCTCTCTCTGCAGAACGGCTGGTCAAGCGCGTCGCACAAAGCATGCAGTCCGTAGCTCGGGCCACGATCACCAGGGATCTACTACTCACTTACTTAGTCGCTCCTCTTCTACCTTGGAGTGTAGAGGTTTGCCAGAGAGATCGCCAGACGTCTCTATCAGCAGTTTTTTTTTCTGGCTCTGTTCCATTCCAGTCCTCTGTCAGTTAGGGACAGTCGGATGTTGTCTTCCCAGCGCACCCTGGGTCGTCCTGGAGGTTTGGTTCCCTGGTTCTTAGCCTCCCATGCCTGCTATAGTGGCCAAATTTCTCCCATTCTGCATACATGTCCAAACCATCGTAACTGTGACTGATCTACTCGGGTTAGTAAGGGCTGGGTATCAAGATCTTGACGTATTGTCTGATTGCGGAATTTGTCCCTTCTTGTCACTGGGACCACCTTTCACCGATATCTCATTTCTGGGGCATGAAGCTGGCTTATGTGAGCTGTTCCCTAGGGATCTACGAAAAAAAAAAAAAAAACTAGGTATCGTGAGCGGAAAGGCACGTCTGTGATAGGAACCCACAATAATACAATATGCAATGACGTACGATAAACCCACCAATACAATAAATGACGAATTAACGGCGCCGACTGCAAAAACACTGGACATTTAGCCTGCAGTGAAACACCGTTTTCGTGGTTCTCAGACATTAGGACGAGAATCACACCGTAGAAATAATAGCAGCCTAATGTTTCCAATAACAAAAGTAGGTGTATTGTAGCCACCTTTCATTGCGGAGACAGAACACAGGTTAGCACCTGCCTCGATTTCCAGAAACCACACCCTCCATCACAGTATTTTCCAAGCGCCCGTGACGTTTAATATGGCCAAAATACTTCAACTTTCGGAACTGGACGCTGTTTATGAGCCAGTTCTCTTTGATGTTTAACTAGTGTAGAATGTCGATGTTTTTCCTCTCTTGATCCATGGTATTCTGGGAATTTTTTTTTCCTGTAACATTTCAATTCGAAAGCTCCAAACTTTTACTTCAGTTACTGAGTGGGAGTACAAGACTCACAAGCGTAAGTTGCCACAGGAAAAATGCATGATCTCAAGATTTTTACTTTAACTAATTTACAGGTGCTTTGAAATAGGTTCTTCGTGCTGTTTAATCTCTGCATTGCCAATGCAAGTCTTCTTCTGACTTATTTCGAGCAGTCGCCACTTCTTCTTTTTTCCGTTGTCATATGTGGTTGGTGTGCTGTATTTACTGAGGACATGCTTTTTTTTTTATTTTTTTATTTATTTAGAAAACAAAACAAAAATAATTTCTACGCTTTACTTTTTGACGGCCAAAATTATTTTTTCTAAATATTGTACACTGTTGAAAGGAGAACAGTTTCATTTGCAGATCTGAGTTCTGGGATAGGATTACCTCCAATTGTTTGTGGATCGAAGGTCTCACTTGCCTCATCACTATATGCGTTTCTCATAACATTTTCAGCATATATTTTAATGAGGGAGGGTGAAATAATGCAGCCTTGCCTCACTCTTTTCTGCACTTCAAACCACTCTGATGTTTCATTAGCACATACGTTTACAAAAATCAAGATTATTTCATAGAAATCATGGGTTATCTCCCTGTACTTAAATGAACAAACTTGCTCGCTTACTGTACCCCACCAGGACATTACAGAAGCGATAAACATCCGGTGACATAAAGTGCCACCATGCGGATGAGGATCACCCGTAGAGAAGTCTCGGAAACCCTTTTCAGCCGTTATGGCCACAATTGTGGCACCGCTATATTCAGGGCCCCCGGCAAAAGCCTGGGTGGGGCTTCAAATAAAGAAAAATTACATTCCACAAGGGAATGACTAGGATTCTAAATGAATACAAACATAGAGGTCCCTTTACATGCCAGTTGCACATGGGGCACATGAGTTTATGTTTATTCAACGCATAAACATCAAGGCACACGGGTTAAACTCACGAGTGCTCCGTTTCACTTCTAACTCAAGCCTGAGTCTGAAGAATCTCAGCACAGTGCACGAACTGTGTAGCACCGGCGAGGATCCTGAAATGCTTCGAGTAGGTTTTTAATTTCAAAATTTGCCTGGGCTGCGCCGTTAAGCCACTCTTTTTCGATTTCCAACTGCCAAGGTATTTTGTACATGTGCAGCAATACACATGGGCGGCAGGTCTTACTACCCAGAGACCAGGGAAAATTGCAAGAAGTCCACGTGAAACAAATACCAAACTTTACCGAGGTTTGAACCCGAGAATTCCGGCATTCAAGGTGGATGCCTTACCTCTATAGACCAGTCAGCTCTCTGTGGGTAATGCAGACAAGCTCACGTCGGCTGCATTTTCTACCGAGGACTACCTGGTACCCATTTAAAACTCGGTCGACCTTGGAGCCAAGGTTATATGTGTTAGAGAAATGGCAAGTAATGCACCCATGCAAACGGCAAGAAGCATGGACAGAGCTGATATCATCAACGCTGTACTGACTAGGCTGGGGAATAACGGCGAATCTCTGACGCTAACACGACTAAATGACCTAGGAGTAGAGCTTGATGAAGCACGTCTATGTCGTCTTCGAGGTAAAGACAGAAGATACTAAAACCAACTCCTTGTGTTCAATGTTGAATTAAGACCAGACATCACAGCATTCGGGGCACTCCCATAAGTGCTCAGTCCCCATCTTCAGCAGCTACTCCTCAATCAGTGGAGGTACCGTGGAGTGGCTGCTGCATAGGACGACTGAGCACGCATTAGAATACCTAAATTGCACAGACGTCGACTGCGATTACTTACCATAACATAATACACACACAAACACACACACACACACACACACACACACACACACACACACAAATTAAAAAAATCCGACTCTATGCAGGTTTGAACCAACGACTGTCAGATCCGCAGACGAGCGCCTTGTCGCTACCCCACGGCGGTTCCCATATAAATTAATGTGAAACATTACATCTGAGGCTGGAAAGTAATTTTCTTGTTTTTCCACGGCTTTTGATTGGGAGGAGACTTAGCCAAAATAGAAATTCTTTTCGTGATTTTTGGACAATTGAACGACAGTTGCACCATGGAAGTGACTATGGCCTAGCCACTAAATATTCAAAAAGGCAGAAGTATGCGTATGTTGCCAACTTTCGTTTTGGAGACGGGATATAATATTACAGACTATAGCCCAAATTGACAGAAACATAGCAGAAAATAACACGTCTGCAAAAACAAAGATTATTTTATAGAAATCTTGCGTTACCTCCCTGAATTTGAATATTTGTGAAACATTAAATGTAGAATTGGAAAACGATTTTTGCTCGTGTTAGTGTGACTTGATGCTCCTGTTAATGCGACTTGATGCTCCTGTTAGTGCGACTTGATGCTCCTGTTAGTGCGACTTGATGCTCCTGTTAGTGCGACTTGATGCTCCTGTTAGTGTGACTTGATGCTCCTGCTAGTGTGACTTGATGCTCCTGTTAATGCGATTCGATGCTCGTGTTAGTGTGACTTGATGCTCCTGTTATTGCGACTTGATGCTCCTGTTA